AGCGTTTCGCATGCCAAAATCCTTCTTAGTCACGGCCTAGGAATTTTAGTTGATGTATCTCACTCTCTTTTTTCTATTGACTAGCAAGTCAAGTGATGCACTAAAACCACCCTAGCAAGTGTACTAGTCGCCCCAAGTAATATAATGATGAGAGAGTGTCAAACCCATGAGGATTGTGTCTAACTAAGTACCAAAATAATTCATCTAAATTTATTTGAACAACCAAATGAGAAGAAAGTTTAACTAAAAAAATAATAAAAGAAAAATAACAATTAAATTAAACCTAACCAAGATATGAGGTACTAAGGCATTGACTTCACCATAATCAATCAATATAAATTCTAAATTACCAAATTGTTGAGTGTTATTGCATGTGATGGCGGATTTCTCTAAATTAATTAACTAGCTTTCTCAAGTCAAGTTAATCCTTCACTTGTTTGTTAAATTAATCATATCTCTATATAATTTTAAACAAACTTATAAGCATTAAATTCTATAGAAACCTCTAGCTTAAGAAGGGGGAGCTCCTAACTCTCTTCTCTTCCTCCACTATCACATGTGAGCTAATTACTTCTCGGTCTCATAGTCTAGCACACGGTTTATATTATTATTGGTCTAATCTATGCAATTCTTTATCAAGTTAATGCATAAATCACTAAATCAATTGAAAGGTGATCAGACTTCCAATGCATTAAGTTCAATAATATAAACTCCTCGTGCAAATAACTTTAATTGAAAGCATAAAATCACTAAATCCATATTGAATTGATTAGGCTACATCGTAGCTCTAGTAGAATAAATCAATTCATAATAAAAATAATAAAATATGAAATCAAAGTTATGAACATTCAAATATCAAACAATAGATAAAAATCCAAGGAAAAACAAAACCCAATTTAAGGAAATCGAACTCCTTGATCTTTTATTGTTGATGGAATTTCAATCTTGATCTCCAATAATGCCCAAAAGAAGGCTGCCACTAGCCTCTCAAAACTCTCATAATTTTGAATTTGGATGGGTATTTATAGGATTTTAAAAACTCTAATTGAAATAGAAGTAGGACTTGGAACAGAAATAGAAAACTGAATTTTGGATGCTGATCACGTGGTACTGACACTTTGGATTACGTGTTCGACACAAAATATGAAACAGAATCTGATTCTGGACGTTTAACGCATGGTGTCGACACCTCGGTTACGTGTCGACACTACACCCGTGTCGGGTTTTGGCCTCCTTTTGCAATTTCTTCAATGGTAAAATAGCAGATCTGCTCCTCCAGATTTTGTACTATGAGAACTTAGATCCCAAAACTTAAGATTCATTCATTTAGGTTCCAAATGGCCGCCCTTCTTCTTGCAATTCAATCCCTCAACTTTTAGAAAATATGCAATAAATCCTAAAAACTCTTATTTTATGCCTTCAAATCCTTTTCTGCACAAAGAATGAAAATCATGTAAAGTCTCATAAAACTCAGTAAAACCTCATAAAACTCATCCAAATATCAATAATATCAAGAAAACAATTCCACATTAATACGTATACAATTTCAACTCATCAAATTCCCCCAAACTTAAGTTTTACTTGTCCTCGAGTAAAATAAAAAGACAAAAGAAACAAAAATAAAATCTAACTCACTTTCGTAGGAATCACGATTGCACTTAGCATGTGCAACAAGCCTTTAAACCCTTAGGTCACCCTAGTGGACGAGTTGTGTCTCGTGAGGGTTTGCAGCGGATCTACCCACAAAATCCCAAATGCAAAAATGCAACTATATGATATGTATGCAAAGAAAATTTAGGAATTAAAGTTCAATTAGAGGCAAAGTCTCAAATATTCAAAAGTTCTCCTATGCTCACTTAAAGTAAAATACTCCATCTTATTCTTCACACCACTTGTTAAAAGATTTAGCCCATGAGCACTTAGTGTGTGTGTGGAAATTCATAGTAAGAAGTTTCAAGTTTAGACCTTCACACCTTAGCACTTATTACTATCTTTTTTTTTTTTCTCCCCTCAATTTTTTTTTTCATAGGTCGAGTTTCCTTAGGCTTTCTAAGTTACCCATGTAATGAGCTTGTTGTCAATGACTCCCAAACCAGTTGGTTTTAGGGCATTAGGTGAAGAGACACCCCTAAGAACATACTTACTCAAGTAACAAAGGCCACGAAACATTCGACTTCTCTTCTTCTTTTTTTTTTCTTTAGCCATACAACACATTCTTCCCTAAGTTATCACTTGTCTTTTGATGCGAATATTAACATTTGTGATGAAAGCACTCGGTTACTCAACAAGTCATAAACTCAAAGTGCTTTGCATACTCATATTTCAAGTTGTCGTTTGACGTGAAAATTGACATGGGTTTCATGCCTAACCCCCAGTTACTAAGCAACTAGAAACATTGGAGTAGAAATTAATAAACTCTTTTGTGTGTTGGCTTTCTTTTTTTTTTTCTTTTTTTCTTTTTTTTGGTGCTTTTTAGATGCTACTAAGTCTTCTCTCTAAACTTCTCACTACAAACTTGTGCTTAAATAGAATATAATACTCATGAACTTAAACTTCATCACAATGGTGTTATTTTTCAGATTTGTATCTCCTCTAAGATTAAAAGATTTTAAGAGCTCTAACTTAAGAATATTCAATTCCTTGACACTAATTTGACCAATTCCTAAAAAAAAAAATCCCTAATTTCTAAAAAAAAAAAATGTATATCATGCAAATATGAATGCAACTAATGTAAGAATGAATGCCTAAAAGTTATTCTCTCCCCCAGACTTAAATCAAACATTGTCCTCAATGTAAAATAAAAGTAAGAGAAAAGAGAAACTTCCTAGGTTTTGCACTTAAGAATTTAAGTTCTGAAGTTGAGTTCTTTCAATTGGAGACTTAAAGTATGTGAATTTCCATAATCTCATCCCCCAAACTTGTTCAATGACTTGGCCAAAATCAAAGAACAACAATTTATGCATTAACCTAGGCCATAAAGAGAAAAAGAAAAACATTAAAAGAAAATTTGAACTATAAAAGAAAAATAAAAGAAAATTTTATGCTTGGGTTGCCTCCCAAGAAGCGCTTAATTTATAGTCATTAGCTAGACTTTCTACCACTCCAAGGTGGTTTTGGATCAGGTCGTAGGGCATGTCCTCTCGTTTTCTTAAATCTTGGCTTCCTTGCCCTTAAGTTGAATCCACCATAAGATTTTCTCCAATGACTATTTTGAGGTGGTTTGGGTTTAGGCCAGTAGATGTGCCTTCCCAATTCTTCTAGGAGTGCCCCTTTTGATTCCAAGGAAGATGATGTGTTCAAGCAATTTGTGTATTCTTTGATTGAGTCTTTTGCTTGAATAAGGTAAATCTCAAATGGATCCTCATAAATGTTTTTCTGCAAAATCTCATCAACCATATCAATAACAAAATAATCATTAAAATCAGATTTGGTTAAAGGAGACTCCCCATTGAACACTACAAATGACACCTGAGCTTTTTCCTCTTCCTCCTTAGGCACATCCTCTTGTTTAGTTTCTGCAAGCATAATTTCTACTTCTCCAAGTTGTCCTTCAATCTCTAAGGGTAAGGTGTTTACCTCTGCTTCTTGATTTTTCATTGTTGCACTAGGTAACTCACCTTATATCTCTTCAGCAACTAAGTTGAGCAAATTATATTGTTTAAATAAGCCACCAAAACTAAAATGGTCTAATCCACACCATTCACAAGTGATATTTGATCGTTCTATTAGAGCCTTCCTTAATTCGATCCTTTCAATGGCTGCTTGAAATCGTTCAAGTTCATCATTGTCAATTTCTTTGGTAAGTACTCTCCAAGTTGTGCCCTTATCTATGGCGCAAGCCATTGATAATTCTCATCAATGTTTAAGACAACTCGATTCATAGTTAGACCTACAAAAACAAAAAGGTTAAATACCCTTTTTGGTCCCTCTACTATAGGAAAAAGCCCCTTTTTAGTCCCTATACCGAAAAAATCTCCT